TTTCCCGGTCTCGCATAGCCCAGTATGGTTGCAATAGAATTTCCTTCAAACCACGGTTTGTTAGCATGATCAAGTATAATTGAAATACTATGGCCATTAAACACAAACTCATTATTCGCTATGTCGATTTTAGACATTATACTATATATACACGAGCACAAACAATCCGTTTTTGTTAGAGAACAAACTTGTGTGAATGTGTTTTAATACATCATCTAAATGAATACCGGTACACCAATTATAAACTAGGGCACCAGAGTTGAGATAGACTTATCTGTACAACTGATGACGCAGACCGGCCGTGCTTCTTATCTGGGTTCAGCTCTCGCACTGCCGCAGATACGTTTTGTCTTCTATATATACCGCAGTGTACCGTAGAACAGTGTACACACAACGGCAGTGTAAGTGTACACCGTAGAACGGTGTACACACAATGGCAGTGTGTGTGTGTAAGTGTTGTGTAACATTGTGTAGCAAACTCCGGAAAACCAAACAACTGTGTTGTAAGTATTCGAAAGTTTCAGTGTTTTAGGTGTCTGAAAGTTGAACTAGTTACACTGATATAAAACCAATATAAAGCATGCTGTTGAACTATCAGTTGCAATAGTGTCAGCAGAATGTACTGAGTGTGGTTTGAATATTGATCGTGAGTAAAAAAAAATATTAAAATAGTAAACTTTCATTAAATATTTCATCATATACAATTTATTGTAGTAACTCCTAACTTTTTCAATTGTCGTTTGAGAAATATTCTTCAGTAGTTTTTGCAAAACCTGTTTTTATAATCTTCTACTGTTCTCAATCTGTTGTAAACACTACATCGTGCATTTTTCTAGTACCACTAAGCGATTTTGTGCCCTTGTATACAACAAATACGGGTTTATCAGATCGCAAAAGTTTCTTTATATTGTTGGGTGTCAGTCTTGCGTTCCAACTCTCCGGAAGTCGAATTTTCATATTGCCACATATAATTTGAATCTGATCACCATACTTGGAACTCACAATTTCTATATCCTCTACCAAATACTTTTTATCAATCTCCAAATCAGCAACACTTATATAACGGCTTCTGTTTATTTTATCTAAGAAGTCCAAGAAGTCGATATCATTAGAGTTCTCCATGCTGTCTGCCTATATATATTTACATACTTTTACGACAAACAAAAAATTTGCATTATCTGTCGCTGAGTATTATAAACGGTTTTATAAAACCGAGGTCGCAATAAAAAAATAAACACAATTGCATCTTATGAATAAATTATACTCGTACAAAATCTAAATACACAATACTGTTCGAATCAGGATTGTGCAATAGTGTACCATTTTGATCAAACAGTCCGATTTGAATTTGTTGAATTTGATTTAACCCATCTTTTAATGGTACATAGTGGGGGTATTGAGGGGTTTCAGAAATTTTATAGCCATGTTGTGCTTTCGGAAAGAATTGGTACAATATCGACGATTCGTCATGTCTGTGATAATGTGTAGAATGGCTTGTATAACTGCTGTTTACAATATTACAATGGATTTCGATAACATCCACAGGCCGCAAATTTGGCGCAGTATCAGCTTTATAGTGATTAGATAACTCTGAATCTTTGTCCTCATTAAACCCCAACAAAAAGCGCATTGTGTTATCCATTTGAAACTTTAGTGGTGATTTTATAACGACACGATTACCTTCTTTAAGTATTTCAAACTGATTTATATCCACAGTAAAACTGGCTTTTTCCAAAAACCCTCGTATGTGCTTCTGTAGCGATTCCATTGTCCAATGTCCACTGTTAATCACCAGAGGTGTAAGTATGTTTTCAAAAGTCATACTAGCAGTTTGCACTAAATTATAAATGTTGTTTTCAGAATAAAAACCAATCAACGCTATCTGGTACTTTGAATTTTCACCCAAATGGATCGGGTGCTCCAAATGGATATTTAACAACGATGTATTTCCCGTCAGTTTTATAATAGTCATATCTAATAAATATATGGTGCAGAGAAAAAGTATATTCTTAATTGTTTTTAGGTAAACTGTCATATAAATCATTAATGCTTTCTCTTGCGTTTTCTTTTAGTGTTTTATAACGGGTTTCCAACTCTAGGATTTTATTCACAAGTTCATCCAATTGTAGTTTTACCACAACATCGTTTGCTTCAATGGCCTTACCAACACCGCTTATTCTCTTATGGTTTTGAATCTCGAGCACATCCACAGTATTAGTTGTAGTAGACTTTTTCGGCACAATGTGTTTTGTTGTTTTGATCGCGTTTTTAATGAGTTTTTCCAACTCTAAAAGGTCTTCCTTAATTGCGACATCGTTTTTGTCTATGGATTTAGCGGTGTTAACAATGCGTCTCCCTTTAACACTCAAATAGTTGCCCGATATACTAATGCTATTCACCAAAGAATCGGTTGTTTTTAGATGCCCCATTAGCTTATCCTCTATTTGTTTGAACATTGTTTTAGCTCCGCTGTTGAATCCATTCTGTAAGTTCCGTATCTTTTCATCAACTAGAGATTCACTAACACCATCTGAAATACTCTGGGGTAGTTCGTTAAATCTGTTTATCGAAAGATAATCCATGTCTAAATATATACATTAAAAGGTTTGTTTTACTAAAATAAAAAAAAATAAAAATACTTTATTATAAAATTATAGAAACCAACATAACCATACATATTTGTTATTATTCAGAACATGTTCGATTTCATTCCAACTCGCACCATTTGAAAATCTCCTTAAAACCTCCAAACACAGATGACCACATATTGGCGGATCGTCATATTCCTGGTATCTATTCATATTGTATAATATACCATCGTCCATGTTCACATATTCTTTTAATTCCAACAACGGTGGTGCGTCTCCAAATGAGTCGAAATATGTAACTCGGTTGCCTGTTTTCATATAACAAGTCCAGTGTGTACCACCCGAATCTAAATTGCCTAGATTTATAATTCCACATTCGTTTGCACGCGGTTTGTTTGGCAAGGCTTCCCTCATAAAAACACCACGAAAGTTTCTTATTCGTAAAACATTAGCCCAACGCTCCAAGTCAGATATTGTTAGTGGGCTTATTTTTTTTTTGCGCCACTCAAGACCCTGTTCAGTTCTCTGTTTAGTCAAACCGGCACCACTTACGTCTTGATCTATCAGAGTATCCAACTCACTATCAATTAATTTCTTAAGCCATGGCACAAACTGATCTTTCAACAGTGGTGCAACTTTGCCTCTTATCAGTGGTGATGCAACTTTCTTAAAATAAGGAATATTGTTTTCAGCCAGCTCCATTACTTCCCGCAATAAACCGCCATCAATCATCTCCTTCAGTTGGTCATAATCGAAAATCAACCTCACTCCAGTGTTGTTTTTTATGGCTCTTTCCACCTGCTTATGTTGGTCACTATCAAGCGATACTTCAACATTACCGTTTTTCAGCTGTTTCTTGGAGAGATATAGTATAGCACGTTTGAGCTTTTTGTTAGCAATTCGCAATTTGTTAAGTTGATTCTTCGTCAGGTTTATCTTACGTTTATACCTCATTGTTATTATACTATATACACACTTTACCAATTCTCAATCGTTTACTTAATTAAGACTCGTTTGCGCATTTAAAGTCTATATTACAAGCACATCTATATTTCGATATATAGCAATGGAGTTGTACTGCCGCGTGTGCAAAACAAACACGGCGTCTGAAAACATAAAGACCACAAAAACTAGAAATAAAAGATGGTTGTCTACATCAAAATGTGCAGTGTGCGGCAGTGTGAAACACTCGTTTATAAAGGAGCCATATGAGGTTTTAGAAGCCAAGGAGTTGCACAGGCCGGTTATTAAAAAGTTCATTAAACGCCGAATAGTCACCAAGGGTATCGACGATTTGTGGGCTGCAGATTTACTAATAATGAAGCAGTACGCTAGGGAGAACAAGTGGTACAAGTACATTTTAAATGTCATAGATACATTTAGCAAATTCGTTTGGTCCGAACCTTTAAAGAAAAAAGACGGGACAGAGTTGACAACGGCTTTCGAGAAGATTATAAAAAGAGCAAACAGTGATGGTCATAAAGCACCGAAGCTTTTACATACCGACAAAGGTACAGAGTTTAAAAACAAACCGTTCAACAACATGTTGAGGAGGCACAATATCAAACTATACCATACAGAGAGTGAAGAGAAGTCCGCAATAATTGAAAGATATCATAGGACATTGAATGAGAAACTTAAAGTGAAATTCCAAGTCCGACAATCCCACAAGTGGTACGATATACTACAAGAAGTCACAGACGAGTATAACCAACACGATTATCACCACACTATTAAAATGAGACCAGTAGAGGTCAACAAAGATAACGAGGCTGATCTATTAAAAATGTACATTGAGCGCGAACACAAAATTCGTAAAAACAACAAGTTCGACCTCGGTGATAGAGTTCGTATCACGACAAAAAAAGATGTGTTTGCGAATAAATATAAACAAAACTGGACTTCGGAGATATTTACAATAGCACGAATTCTAAACAGTAGACCGGTTACTTATAGGATCGCCGATCAAAATGGCGAAGAAATTATAGGCGGGTTCTATGAAAAGGAACTGCAGAAGACTGCTCTCTGAATTTCTGAGGGTGTCCCGAGTCCCAGTCCAGACATTCAAGTCCAAAGAATGAACCCGCTCTGGGGGGCTATTCAAGTCCAAGGAATGAACCAGCTCTAGAAGGTTATTCAAGTCCAAAGAATGAACCCGCTCTGGGGGGCTATTCAAGTCCAAGGAATGAACCAGCTCTAGAAGGTTATTCAAGTCCAAAGAATGAACCCGCTCTGGGGGATGTACCCGCTCTGGGGGGATGTACCCGCTCTGGGGGGATGTACCCGCTCTGGGGGGATGTACCCGCTCTGGGGGGATGTACCCGCTCTGGGGGGATGTACCCGCTCTGGGGGGATGTACCCGCTCTGGGGGGCTCTCACCCTCACCCTGGGCTAGAAGCGCCAAATACATAACTACTTGTAGCTTTTAAACCATTCTGCTGCTCGTCCTCTCACACCTAGTGTTTCCAGCTTGAGTAGAAGAAGTTCGTGGTTTAGGCAGTCGAAAGCTTTACTAAAATCTAGAAAGAGGCTTGTTGAAGTGCTGCCTTCTTCTAGTTGGTTTAGTATGTGCTCTGTCAGTTGTATTAAGGCTGTGGCTGTCGATCTGCCTTTGATAAATCCATGCTGTTGACTATTGAGAAGGTTGTGTTCTTGAAGATGGTGTAGGAGTTGGGCTAGTACTATCTTTTCGATTATTTTTGAAAACGTTGATATTAGGGAGATTGGCCTGTAGCTGTTTCTTTCCATCGTTGGTCCATTTTTGTATTTTGGGTAGACTTTAGCTATTTTTAATTTATCTGGGAATTTTCCTTGTGAGAGTGATTTATTTATGAGGTCTGTCAGGGATATTACTATTTCATTTTTACAGTTTTTTAGAAGTTTAGCTGATACCTCATCAGTTCCGGATGAATTTTTCATCTTTAGAGATTGAATGGCCTTTTGCACTTCTTCTTGTGTGACCCGTCTGAACTGGAGTGTGTGATGTGTTGCTGGTAAGTGGTCTGTTAAGGCATTGGTTCTAGAGTTATTGTTATTTTGGAGTGTTCGGTCGGCTATTGATGAGAAAAAATCATTAAAACAGTTTGAAACTTCTATTGGGTCGTCTATTGTTTTATTGTTGACTTGAAGATGGATTTGGTTTTCAGTATTTGATCTCGCTTCCCTTTCTCGGTTTATTGTTTGCCACAGTGCTTTAGACTTGTTTTCAGCCTGGTTTATGTGAGCTGTGTTGTTTTCTTTCCGAAGCATTTTCAAATGCTGGTCGTACTCCTTTTTTTTAATAGTTGTTCTGGCTTTGTCTTCCATAAGTCCCGTTGTTTGCTCCTTTTCTAAGGCCTTTATATATTCATTTTTAAGTCTAGCCGATTCTTGATTCCAACACTGTCTCCTTTTATGTTGTTTAACTCTTGATGTTTTAAGAGGGCAGGCGTGGTTTAGTGTTGTCTGGATGATGTTGCTGAAATTGTTGTAGGCTTCATCTACGTCATGAGTTTGTATTATAGTTTCCCAGTATTGTTCTTGTAGTTGTGTCTTAAAGTTATCTATTGTTGTTCTGTTGAAGATTCGTTTATTTTCTTTGATGTTGTTGATGATCGGTTTTCTAGTGATGATTTTTGCGATTTGTGCGGTATGGTCAGATAGTCCTGATGTTATAACTGAGGTTTCTATTTGTTGATTATCAATGTTTGAGCATATCCAGTCTATTGATGTTTCTGAGTCACTTGTAATTCGAGTGGGAGGTAGCCTCAGTCTTGAGATATTGAAGGAGGTTAGGAGTTCTTCAATTTTTTCGTTTTCATTGTCATCAACTAGGTTGTTTACATTGATGTCTCCCATTATTAATATTTGCTTATCCGTAGTGAGCACTGTTTCCAGTTGTTCAGAGAGTATATCGATGGCTTGGTCTAGGTTTGCACTTGGTGGCCTGTATACTCCGAGGAACAGCAGTGGATTCCTGTTTAGCTTCAGTTCAAAGAGCACAGTTTCGCAAATCAGTTCTGTTTCCTCGCTACTTGTGCATATGAGTGATACATGCTTTTCCCAGCCACTTCTTAAATAAGCGACCACTCCTCCTTTGACATGGGATTTCCTTGAGAAGCCTCCAATAAGTGAGTAATTTTCTACCCACGTGTTTTGCAAGTTTTGTTGTGCTACGCCGTGCTCTGTTATTATGATCAGGTCCGGGTCTTCATCTTGGAGGAAGTGTGCTAGTCTATCAGTTTTTTTAGATAACCAATTTATGTTTTGGTGTAGAATTTTAAGTCCTTGTTGGCTATTAGGTGTTTGGAATTTTACTGTACGGAGTGTCGGAGGGGATGTGTTACATCTTTGAGCTGGTTTTTGTGCTTTTCTCTGGGATGAGGGTGTTCTTCTAAAAAATGATGTTGGGAGGTGGGAGTGTTTAGGGGTTCTTGTGTGCAACTTTGGTTTTTGTTAGTTTGTAGTGTGTTTTTATACTTTGGGAGGGGTGGTTCTGCGATTTTCTCAATGTTGATGTGGTATTTGGAAAGTTCATGGGAGCTAAGCAAGTTTGCTTGTTGTATCCAACGGCCTAGTTTATCATTACTGCTGGGTGTTATGCAAAGGAATGAGTGTGTGTTCCTTGAGATAGCAACGATGCAGTGGTGCTGCGATTCATAAATTTCTTCTCTTTTAGCAGATGTTCGTATGACAGCTATGTTTTCTGCTTGCCGTCCTTGAAATTCATGTATCGTAGATGCGTTGAAACCTAGCTTGTTTAGTTCTCTTTTCTCAGCTTGTTTGAAGACCAAGCATTTGTATTTATTTTTGTCATCAAACAGCCATTTAGAAAACTTTGAGGCTACACTTGTACCGTAATTACTATACAAACAAAATTTTAAAGATCCATTTTACTCCTACTAAAGCTGTAAACAAGTGAAGAAAAAAACACTCCAAACTTATTTCATTCTTTCTTTCTAAACTCATTAAAAAATATCCCTCATCCTCCAAACCTGACTTTTGGAACACTTAGACCATTTCAGACAGTTCCAGAGAATTATGACAAGGCAAAATTAGGTCCCAAAATTGCAATATAATTGTTATTACTCTGCATATTCCAAGACTGGTATTAATGAGGTTCAAGGATGTTCATAGTTAGTTACGTCAGTTCTGCAGTAACTATATATCCTGGCTCAGTCAGTTCTGCAGAACAATCCTGATCCTGACTCTACATGGCCTTGGCTGAGATGAAGGCCAGTGTGATCCTTGTATTAACAGTGACTGCCTGTGTTGCACAGGAAGGGTGAGTGTTACTTAAACCATTAGTTTACTTTTAATTTTGAGGTCAAAAGATCAGGCATGGTTTATTGTTTGTTTTCTTTTGGCTGTAAATGCAGAGTTTGATTTTGATTAATATATATTTTTTTAATTACTGAAAAATGGTGGGTCAAGGTGTTGATTACATTAAATATAGTAAATGCCCCTGCCACAGCAGACCTGCAGTCAAAGCAAATTTCCCTGTTGAATTTCCACTAAAATATTCTCTTAATATTGTCAGATTTATTCCTAACAATTCCCAAACTAGTTTGATTAAGGGAGCGCTGCTCTACCTGTCTGCCGCGCGCTAATGCAAGGGTTTAGGATCTCCGTCACTGTTAGTTCTTAACCGATTGAAAATATGTTTATGAACCTTTATTCATATCATATTTGTGTAGGTTTGTTTGTAATTTTGTGCTAATAGTAGAAATTTAAGTGTGAAGTGACTGGCAAATATCTCAAAATAAGCTTTTTCTAAAGCATTTTACGATTTTACTCATGAGAATTGATTTTTTATGAAAATTAAAACCATAGAGTCATAGATTTGAATGCAAGGAGTTAGAAACCTTCTCCATAAACAAATTTTAAAACATAACTTGGTAATTCGAGGGGACTTAAACGTCTGCAAATGCTTTTCGCGGTGCTGTTCAATGGCGCAACATAGCCCGAGCTGAGGTAGAGCGCACCCTTTAAGTGTAGATTTAAACACGGTAGTACAAAACTTCATCAAGATTGGACGACTTTTGCTCGAGTTATGGAGCTAGGACACACATAATGTAGGCTATATATCTTACTAATATTATAAATGTGAAAGTTTGTGTGTTTATTTGTTTGTTTGTTTGAAGTTCAATCACGCATTAACTACTTGACGGATTGGGCTGAAATTTGGCATGATGATAGCTCATATATTCCCGATTAACATAGGCATATTCTTATCTCAAAAGTCCTTTTGGGCTCCGCCCCAGTGGCTAATAGTTCCCCATGTTAACCTTATGAGTATTCATATTTAAAGGGAATTAAAGAATTTAGTCAGCTGTTTAATCTAGAAAAGTTGGTTCTATAATATGCAAAAGTATTAAAAAGTTATACGATTTACCATCAGGGTGCAGCACAATTGATTTTTTTGCATTTATGAAAACTGCTAATTTGAACTAAGCAGCAACAAAAGACTGTGATAGGCAATGATAACTGTCAAATTAGGATTGTTTACAGTTATGTTTATGTTTTTAACTTCATGAATAATTTGTGATATTTTGCGAATTTTTAATAATTTATTTTTCTCTATTGTTTAGGTGAAGTGGTGAACATTATGGCTATGGTAGATGTGTAATTGTATACTGTAAATTTAAAGAAGCAAATTTTATCAAACTGTGTCCTCTCTCATTGCAAACGCTAAGTTAGAGTATAACTGCAATAAGCATTTTACACTTATATGACAACCCCGTACGAAGGACGGGTACTCTGCTAGTATGTGTATATATTTATTATGTGAAGCTGGCCATCTCTATGACCTACAACCTATTTTATTTTTTTCATGCCTGAATTTTTGATGCACTGTATTTATCTCTGACTTGTGTTTTTGCAGCGTGTAATCCACTTTTTGATGTGTCTAGTCCATACGGTGCATGTATGTGTCTACTGGAATAAAACATTGATTCTTGATTCTATAATTTGTCAATTTGAACAAATGGGATTTTGGCCTCTGGGGACATCCAAAACTAAAAAGTGAATCAGTCCCGGGTCTAGGTCTTGGTCTTACCATAGATTAAACAAAATCTTTAGGAGGTCTACATAAAATAATTTCATAGGTAGCACAACTTATGTTATCCCAGTAAACCTAAATAAGTTTATGCCACCTGAGTTAAGAAAAACAGATTATTTTTAAGATAAGTTCTACAGTTTAATTTAGTTTCTAAGTTAAATAAATAGTGGATGTGAAACCGTTATAGGGCATTTTCAAAGAATCAACATTGTCTCCTCTGCATCCTGACCCCATTGCAAAGGCTCCGCTATACCCGCGCTTACTATAGCGGCTAGACTTTAATAAATCATTTCAAGGACCTTGCACTCCTGTAGGGAGAGGAGAAAATTATTAGTTTGATGGTTTCTAACCGGATACTGGTCAGATGTGGCGTTGTGATTTTAGTTTTTTTGGAGGCAACTAAAGTCCTGTAAAATTGTATACACAGATACAAGGTGTTTCTACTACACAGGTGTTTTACTTTTGTGGCGTAGTCTTACTGTGTACGTATACAATATTTACATTAGCATATAAAATATACATAAATTATTGTAGCAGCCATGATCTCAAATACAAGATTGAAATCAATCAATACAAACTCAAACCTATAATTTTATTTTATTTCAATTTAGAGCCATGAGTTGTAACTTTTTTCTACCTAACTTGTTACTTTTACCAAAACCCCGGTCTGACAGGCCCACAGGATTTTCACAAATGCATGTTGGCAACACTGTTTACTTGGGGGATTCTATTCCCCAATACCTTCCCCCGTTTTCCACCCCAATCTGTTGATATAAAATATTATTTGTTCATTTTGCCTGGGTGCCGTGACCTGGACAGGTTGTCTGCATATAACATGCCCGTCTCAGAAGCCCAGCGTTAGTGTATTTTAAAGAGGGGTCTCATAGGCCCAGGGTTTCAGTTTGTGTGTTTCTAATGGGGGTTCATTATTTTCAAATGAGGTCTCACAGACCGGGGTTTTTGGTTAGCGTCAACCTGGGCAGGGTTTCGGTATTAGTGTTAAGTTATTATACATTGACTAACTTTTTAACCATTCCAACCTAAAGGTTGGCTAAAGCTCCATCCATGTTTATTTTAGTTTTGGATTATAATTTGTTCCAGGTACAAAAGTAAATACTGTATGACAAAATAAACGTGGATGCAATACTAAACAACCAACGAGTGTTACAGTCGTATGTAAACTGTTTCCTGGACAAAGGACCGTGCACTCCTGAAGGCAGGGAAGGAAAGAGTACCTTGATAGTTTCAAACAGGGTACTGGAGGATTCAGAAGTTTTTTCTTTGCAATTGGTGGATAAGCGTGGTTTCGTCTAGGTTTCTTGTATTCTGTAGTGAAAATGCCAATGAATAAAGCTGTTTTGTGATAACTTAGTGCCTTGGTTACCAGATCATCAAATATCCGCCCCTTATTGTGAAAGGTACTCAGAAAACACAGTAAAAAATATGATAAAGGAATCTCATCTTGTGTATTGCCTTCCGGATTACTTCATGAATGTATACAAGAGGTTAAGTTACCTTGATTCTGTCCAAGTAATCCTTAAGTCGTCATTAGTGCGACCGGTTTCTATGTCTATGGCATCATTGTCAAGCTGAACGTAAAAATCGCTCCTAGGATCGCTCAAGACTCATGACGACCTCCTAGGAGCGATTTTTACGTTCAGCTTGACAATGATGCCATAGACATCGAAACCGGTCGCACTAATGACGACTTAAGGATTACTTGGACAGAATCAAGGTAACTTAACCTCTTGTATACAAAGGAATCTCAATAATATATGTCCATCTAAAACTAAATATTCTTGATACAATGGTCATCAACTTATCTAAAATTATTGAAATAACAAACTTAAGTAAATGTATGTAAATGAAGCATTAACGTAGACAGTATGTGGTCAAAATTATTGTTGAAAAGAAAATTGTTAAAACCTGGGAAGAGCTTTTGATCAATATCGATTAGGCGTACAGCAAACCTGCAAAAATAATCACCTTCATCCCATTTTTCCCAGTGGATTTTATGATCGGAAGAAACACATACAAACTACATTTCTATGCTAGTTTAGTTGATACATCTTTTTTTTAATCCCAGGTCTAAGAACTTGAATCATATATTTTTAGATTTTTTTTTATTACATGTATGCTTGTAAAGGCAAGATGTTTGTGATATCCTATTCCTATGAATTTAACCAGCTTTATTGTGTGAGTTACACAACAAAATGTTTTTCAATGATTTAAGATGACACAGATGATTTGTTTTCTAAATATACAAACATAAATATAATTAGATATAACAACCTCCCAAACAAAAAAGAATACAGCAGCGCTAAAAGTTTCAAAAGTAATATAGAAAATTGATACTGTTAAAACTGCAAACACAGCAACAAAACTGGCAACACTGCATTGATCAAATTAAATTATTTGCCTAACCAGGAAAGTCCAAACTACCTCCAATCATCAAAAGGCCCAAATGCCAAAACAAGAAATCTATATATATATATAAGGCAAAGCCCTCACTGACTGACTCACTCATCACTAATTCTCCCACTTCCCATTTACCTAGGAGGCTGAAATTTGGTACACTGATTCTTTATGCATTAAATAGAAAAACTAAGTTGTTTTTATTCTGATCGGACTCTCGGGCTCCGCCCCAGTGGCTTTGGAGTTTCCCATGTTAACCTTATGAGTACTCATATCCTGTGCAATAGCATTAAAGATACGAGGATTACCAACAGGGTGCAGCACTATTTTTTTTTTATTTATGACAACAGCTAATTTGCAACCAAAAGGTGAGTGAGCGTAGCGAACGAACTTCAACCTGGAGGCGAGTTAGCGTAGCGGACGAGCTAACCTCAAGGCAAGTGAGCGCAGCGAACGAGCTCCAACCTAAAGGTGAGTGAGCGTAGCGAACGAACTTTAACCAGGACGTGATTGAGACATTCGAACGAGCTAACTTATGAAGTAAAACGGGGCAAAGCCCGCGGGTGTTACAGTCGTATGTAAACTGTTTCCTGGACAAAGGACCGTGCACTCCTGAAGGCAGGGAAGGAAAGAGTACCTTGATAGTTTCAAACAGGGTACTGGAGGATTCAGAAGTTTTTTCTTTGCAATTGGTGGATAAGCGTGGTTTCGTCTAGGTTTCTTGTATTCTGTAGTGAAAATGCCAATGAATAAGGCTGTTTTGTGATAACTTAGTGCCTTGGTTACCAGATCATCAAATATCCGCCCCTTATTGTGAAAGGTACTCAGAAAACACAGTAAAAAATATGATAAAGGAATCTCATCTTGTGTATTGCCTTCCGGATTACTTCATGAATGTATACAAGAGGTTAAGTTACCTTGATTCTGTCCAAGTAATCCTTAAGTCGTCATTAGTGCGACCGGTTTCTATGTCTATGGCATCATTGTCAAGCTGAACGTAAAAATCGCTCCTAGGATCGCTCAAGACTCATGACGACCTCCTAGGAGCGATTTTTACGTTCAGCTTGACAATGATGCCATAGACATCGAAACCGGTCGCACTAATGACGACTTAAGGATTACTTGGACAGAATCAAGGTAACTTAACCTCTTGTATACAAAGGAATCTCAATAATATATGTCCATCTAAAACTAAATATTCTTGATACAATGGTCATCAACTTATCTAAAATTATTGAAATAACAAACTTAAGTAAATGTATGTAAATGAAGCATTAACGTAGACAGTATGTGGTCAAAATTATTGTTGAAAAGAAAATTGTTAAAACCTGGGAAGAGCTTTTGATCAATATCGATTAGGCGTACAGCAAACCTGCAAAAATAATCACCTTCATCCCATTTTTCCCAGTGGATTTTATGATCGGAAGAAACACATACAAACTACATTTCTATGCTAGTTCAGTTGATACATCTTTTTTTTAATCCCAGGTCTAAGAACTTGAATCATATATTTTTAGATTTTTTTTTATTACATGTATGCTTGTAAAGGCAAGATGTTTGTGATATCCTATTCCTATGAATTTAACCAGCTTTATTGTGTGAGTTACACAACAAAATGTTTTTCAATGATTTAAGATGACACAGATGATTTGTTTTCTAAATATACAAACATAAATATAATTAGATATAACAACCTCCCAAACAAAAAAGAATACAGCAGCGCTAAAAGTTTCAAAAGTAATATAGAAAATTGATACTGTTAAAACTGCAAACACAGCAACAAAACTGGCAACACTGCATTGATCAAATTAAATTATTTGCCTAACCAGGAAAGTCCAAACTACCTCCAATCATCAAAAGGCCCAAATGGCAAAACAAGAAATAAAAGTATAAAGTATAAAAGTATAAAGCCCAAGAAATAAAAGGGAGTAAGAAAGACCTCCCGCCATGACTTTGCTGCATATCCGGGTCAACAGACCGCAACAATACCGCAGCAATACTTGTGACTGCGTGTTTGTAAATTTATGAAAGTGTTAGTGATGAGAGGATAACTAAAGGAGACCCCTGAAGATGCCACACAAGCTGGAAAATGCATAGCCTTATCTTACCTCTTCAAGAACACAGACAACAACAACAAAGGCTATCTAAGATAGTTGATAGAAATAAGTAAACAAAGTAATTACAATATTTTTTTTGTTTACTTATTGTAATTTACAATAAATCAAAAAACAATTTTTAAGACTCTGTTGATACAACATAGAGCTCGAGGGCCTAGGTCTTAAGGATTTTTAGTGGGGTAAGTTTTTTTGAATTGGAAAAAGTTTTTGAATGGAAAAAGGTCCATCAAGTGCTCAATGTAATCAGTTACAACTGATAAGATCGGAGTTATCTTACCAATGCTTCAAAGCTTCTATACAACCACCAAACCTAAACATAAAACAACATCTCTTATGCAATCCCTTCAATATCCAACAGAGCAACGAGACTAACATACATATTTATTTATTTACATAATATAAAGCGTAGTATGAAATCAACTTCAACTGTGATGGTATAACTGAACTTTTACATATTGACAATACCGTTTCAACAACTTTAAGGCTGCCATTAACCTGAAGAAAATACTCTCTTTCTTCCTTAGTGGAATATGTCGTCAGTGAGAGTAAAATATTCAGATTTTTTTATATTTCATTGTGTTGAGTTTTATGTTTCTTGTGCCAGGTCGGACTTTATCCCATTCAAGTAAGCCTATACTTAATAAGCCAATTAATTCAAGTAAGTATTCTCATAAAACATAGTTAGACTCAGTAATTTGAATATTTTTTTTACAATTGTAATAGGAAAGTGTAAAACATCTCTAAATATTTGATTTATAATTTTAGAATTATTACCTGAAATCTACAGAACAAACTGTGCCAAGTGTTCTGTTGACCAGAGGTACCTTTTGAGAAAAACGATCAAAGCTTTTGCCTCCAAGCGGAAGGAAGACTGGACGAAAATTGTGGAGAAATACGATCCGAAGCATGAAAAGGAAGAAACTTTTATGAAATGGGTTTATGGGGAAAACTAAATGTATCTATAAGTATAAAAGAGGATATTTGTATATATATTTGTTTGTTTGTTTGCTTGTTTGTTTGCTTGTTTGTTTGGCAGGGATAAACTCGGACACCGCTCGACAGATTGTAATGAAACTTTCAGGCATTATTAAGCATTATTCAAGGAAGGTTTGTGTGAAGTTTGGTACTGATCCGTCAAAAGGGCTCCGCCCCAGTGGCTCTGGAGTTGCCCATGTTAACCTTATGAGAAATTGAATTAATGAATCTTAACAGCTGTTTCAATTAAACAAGTTGGTTCTGTTCTATGATGTTCAATAGCATTAAAGTTACAAGGATTACCAACAGGGTGCAGCACTATTATTTCTTTTACATTTATGACAACAGCTAATTTGCAACCAAAACGTGAGTGAGCGTAGCGAACGAACTTCAACCTGGAGGCGAGTTAGCGTAGTGAACGAGCTAACCTAAAGGCAAGTGAGCGTAGCGAACGAGCTAACCTGAAGGCAAGTGAGCGCAGCGAACGAGCTCCAACCTAAAGGTGAGTGAGCGTAGCGAACGAGCTCCGAACTAAAGGTGAGTGTGTAACGTTACTAGTAATGTTTAAAACAAGGGGAAATCGGACTGATCACCCGATAGTAATTATTGCTGTTTGGAGGGACGCCTTCAACTGTCCCAATACACAATATTACTAGTAGGTCTTGCAATTGCCGCCAAAATTCTGACTGCCGTCTTTTGGAACGTCAAAACCCTCTCGACTCCCGGAGTGCCACCCCAAAGTCTTGAACCATAAAGAATTATGCTCTGAAAAAAGGCAACGTAGGCATTTCTTAGCCATTCAGTGGGTACAGAGTTCTTCAAGTTCCCGAACGAGTGAATCACCCTGGAAAGTATACTACATACAAAAGTTAAGTGACTATTCCAATCCAGCTTAGGATACAACATTAATCCAAGTAGTTTAACGCATGTGACATCTTGCTTAAGCTGTCTGAGACTAAATATATTCTCCCCCCAAAACCACATTGAATGTAAAAGACTAATCAGATATAGTTGATAACGTCATCAGTACATTTTGCTCAGCTTTTCCACATTTATTTGAGAAGTTATTAATTGTATTTGGGAATTATTACTTGTATTTAAGAAAATATCGAATGTAGATTATATTAGTCAGTTGAATTTGATAAAACAACAAATTTAGTTGTGAATAGTAAATTGTATTTAAGAATGTATTGTATGGAATTGAGAAAGATTTAATTTTATTTCAGTAATGGTTCTTTCAATTTGAAAAGTTGGCAATTAATTATTGTATATAAGAAAAACTAGATTTTTTCGTTATCAAATCACAAGTTCTCAAATACAGACAAATACTCAAATACAGTTCTTAAATACGTTTAATTCACTGATCTTAAATTAGTATAATGCCTTCTCAAATACATCTTACAATTCTCAACTTCATCTGATTTTAAATCTCAAAATACAACTGATATGTTCTGAAATTAACATAACTGTTTCTTAAACACCATCTAGTCTAAATTTGAGATAGTTATAATATTAAACTTTTTTCCATCCTTTCTTTTTATCAAATCTTTTTTACTTCCTTACAAATTATGTGTATTTTTTATTTTCCTTGTACCATGAGCATGTGATACTGAGTGGTTAACACATTATTTGTTTTGTTTTGTTTCTGAAGAAGGCTTTAGCCAAAATACAGGGTTTTCATAAAATAATAAAGGGGTTTAGTCGTGAAATCAAAAGAAAACGAGAAAAGATACAAAAACAACTATTTATTTTTTTTGACTCCTGACATCAAAAGATTTTATACATAGCTAATAAGCGTCAACATGACAACCATTTCTTGCTCTACAGACGTCCAGACGATGATTTATTTCAGCCCAAAGTGACTCTTTTCTCTTGTTACAATGGAGACTGCATCCCTGGTTCATACTAGTAGGGCTAAATTTGGATTTTTTTTTAAATAAACGATGTTTTTGACATCCTAAATGGCCGTTATACTAGAGTCACTGACTTAAGTTAAATTAGCTACACACTTAGATCTTTTTTAAAGGGAAACATGTTTATGAGAAAATAGAACTTAAAAATGTATTTAAAAGAATAAGTATGTCGTCGAATAGCACAACAATAAACACAGCTGTTTCAATAAATGTAAACAAAACTGTTTAAGCTAATGGATACAGCGGTATCAATATGAAATATTGAATATGTATTATAATAGTTTTACAGATAGTTAAAACCCCACCATTATTTTATAAAAAACCCTGTATATTGATTTTTTTACGTGTTAATTATTTTTAGAATGAAACAACCTTTTAATAATACTGTGAAGAAACTATGTTTCTTAAATAAGATCGGAAAAGGTTGTTAAATTATATTAAATTGATTGGTTGTATTGATTGTTTTTAATCTATTGTTGTTGGTTGTTGCATTGTTGTCGATTTTGATTATGCTGAACTGAAAAGATAGATTACACAGGAAAACAATTGCCCCTCTCAATTGACCAATGTTCTGGTGGAGATAATAAATTATATTGATCGGAACAAACAGTTCCGTCCTCTACTATGGGTATTATTTCACCTTTCATACTCAAACCTAAACTTAATTAGCACTTTCCTTCGAATCAGATTGCAGGATAACTAATACATTACTCGAAAATACAAAATTAACACCAAAACATATGCTACAAATAATGTTTAAATAAAATTAAAATAACACATTGTGGTATAATAAGTTAACAAATACACAGTGAGGTTATAAACAAAATAATAATTGTCTGACAATTATTAAACAGCTGACAAATAATTTATAAACTGTGTATTATATTCTTCAATTAGAATTGTTTTGACTCGACCTTTATATGGAAGGGCTGTAGGTCGTAGCCCTTGTTTGAAATCCTGTCTGTTTTTAAAAGGAACTCATAGATTAATAATTTCATACTGGAAGTGAGGTTATAAACAAAATAACAATTGTCTGACAAACATTGAACAGCTGACAAATAATTTATAAACTGTATATTATATTCTTCAATTTGAATTGTTTTGGCTCGACCTTTGAAGGGCTGTAGGTCGTAGCCGTTAGAAAATACGTAAATTCTAAGGAAGTTCGGCAAATCTATGAATTATCCCCTTTAATTTGAGACATAAATCTTGTAGATCGGTCCAGTAATGACTGAGAAAACAGACTTACAACTGTATATTAAATATATAGATATAGATTTTATATGCTACAAGTTTTCTTTTTACTTATAAATAAACTGTAGTAAATATTTGCCAATTTAGTTTTATATCAATTTTATCAGAATTTCAAGACCCATCAGAATATGGCATATATTTACATGATCTTAATAAACTACCAAATTTCAAATTGGCAAACTGCACAGTCTTTGCAGTGAACCAGGTGCCCAGCGAAACGGTAATAACAGTTGGCTTATCCCCACTCCGCGTGGTGGTCAGAAATAATATGTCAAAACCGAATGTCCAACTCCGCGCGGTGGTCACTTCGGGTCCCTCGCGACACATGTCCAACTCCGCGCCGTGGTCAATGTTGGCTCACACATCCCTGACGGCTGTGAGTTTGTATTTGAAGTTTGAAATTATAAATGTACATAATTTAGAACTGTACGACCCCACAGTAACCAATAAAATAAAGTTAATTAGTACAAAATAGAATATTTATGTTTCATTTGAATTTACCTATCATTAACCTAACCTAACAATACCTAACATGTCACATGAATAAAGTAGCTACGAACAAATAAAAGTGTATAACTTTGGGGACACACGGTATGTATATAGAATATATTATATTAAACACGTCATATCTCATACGAAAGCACAACAAGGTAGCGTAGAGATTAAATGTGGCCACCACGCGGAGTTGGACTGGACCCTTCGTATTGTTACAAGTCAGGAGCCCCGCGCAACAATAGCCAGGCGCCGTCTCAAAAGGGTTGTTTGTCAACACGGGGTTCTCCGAAAGACAATAGACCCATGTCAACGGATTAAGTCAATAGGGTCTTTGACATCCACCAGAAGCTTCCACGGTGATCTGTAAACAGCTTTGTTTGGGCTACTAGGAGTCTCCAGAATGTTCCACGGCAAGCTTATATAAGGGACCGTCTTCCGGCACACGGCAGTAGAGTTGAGTTGAGTCTTCCGAGCACAGACAATATAATACTTTAATGTACAATAAAAAAAAGTATGGTTTAAAGTATGGTTTATTCCATTGTCTGTGCTTCCGAGAATCGCCGCAGCTACAGCCCGTCGGTGTTAGTGACCAGTGCTTGTGCTAGTGGCAGTGACAGAGTAGTGACGGTGTAGAGACAGTGTAGTTACACTAGTGACAGTGTTGTAACAGAAGTGGTGATAAATCCTGTAGAGGCTAGCTGTAAGTAGAAACATTGTAAATTAGAATAGGCATTAGCTAGGTTTAGTTAGGGTTAGTTAGGTGTTAGTTAATTGTAATATTTGTAAATAGAGAATAATTAGTGTAAATAAATAGTTATTATAAAATCGCCAAGTTTTATTGTAAAGAACCTGTTAAGCCCGCAAGAGTATCAACTTTCATGCGAGGCCCTTTAAAGGCACCACTTAAACAGGTACTACCAATCACTTTTAGCCACAGGAAGGCAAGCAAATACTTCAAAGATATTCCCTCTAGCTAGTATCTATATATAGTAAATATATTTATTTGAATATTAGTTGGAAATAATTCAGATCGGTTTTTGTACAAATTATATATAAATTATATTTTTGAAATTTATTGTTGACACATTGATTTGTGTTCTTTAATATGTTTAATTTATGCCTGCCTTATTTCTTTATTCTAATAGAACTAACACATGTTTTATTATTATTATGATTGTAAATAATGTCCAAATATAATACACATCTCTTTTTTGTCAAGTCTAAAAGTCTTGTCTGTCTTTAATATTTTTTACATTTGGTGCCGAAACCCGACTTTATCATGTCAATAAGGAGATCAGAGAGGGAAAGACACCCTC